CAATCTTGTCTACTTCCAATATCCAGGAGGAAAACTATATGATTTTCTTCAGGTTCACCTTCTTATTTAGCTTCTCTAGGATCACGAATTATAGGCTCAAAGACCTTTAATTATGGCTATAATCCACTTATGAGTGAGTAAATACCATATTCCTCTTTTTGGGTCTGGGTTACCTCACTCAGTAAAGCGTTTTCTATTTCCATCCATTTGCATGCAAAATTCAAGATGTCATTGTTTTTTACTGCTGAGTAAAACTCTAATGTGTATATGTTCCACACCTTCTTTAACCATTCTTCTATTGTGGGGCACCTAGGTTGTTTCCAGGTTCTGGCTATTACAAATAGTGCAGCTATGAACATAGTTGAACAAATGCTTTTGTAGTATGATAGGGCATCTCTTGGGTATATTCCCAAGAGTGGAATTGCTGGGTCCAGAGGGAGGTTGACTCCCAGTTTCCTGAGAAACCACCACACTGATTTCCACAGTGGCTGCACAAGTTTGCATTCCCACCAACAATGGATGAGTGTTCCCCTCATTCTACATCCTCTCCAGAATAGGCTATCATTGGTGTTTTTGAGTTTAGCTATTCTGACAGGTGTAAGATGGTATCTCAAAGTTGTTTTGATTTGCATTTCCCCGATCGCTAAGGAGGCTGAGCATGACCTTAAGTGTCTTTTGGCCATTCGAAGTTCATCTGTTGTGGAGTCTCTGTTCAGTTCAGTACCCCATTTTTCAATTGGGTTAATTAGAGTTTTAGTGTCTAGTTTCTTGAGTTCTTTGTATATTTTGGAGATCAGACCTTTGATGAGGGGTTGGTGAAGATCTTCTCCCAGTCAGAAGGTAGCCTTTTTGTCTTACTGACAGTGTCCTTTGCTTTACAGAAGCTTCTCAGTTTCAGTAGGTCCCATTTATTCATTGATTCTCTTATTGTCTGTGCTACTGGGTTTCTACTTAGGAAGTGGTCTCCTGTGCCTATATCTTGTAGACTACTTCCCACTTTCTCTTCTATCAGGTTCAAAGTGGTCAGATTAATGTTGATGTCTTTAATCCATTTGGACTTGAGTTTTGTGCATGGTGATAGATATGGATCTACTTTAATTCTTCTACAGGTTGACATCCAGTTATGCCAGCACCATTTGTTAAAAAAGCTTTCCTTCTTCCATTGTATACCTTTAGCTCACTTGTCGAAAATCAGGTGTTCATACATTTGTGGGTTAATATCTGGGTCTTCTATTCGATTCCATAGGTCAACTTCTCTGTTCTTATGCCAATACCAAGCTGTTTTCAATATTGTTGCTCTGTAATAGAGTTTGAAGTCCGGGATGGTAATGCCTCCAGAAGTTCCTTTATTGTATAAGATTGCTTTGGCTATCCTGGGTTTTTTGTTTTGCCATATAAACTTGATTATTGTTCTCTCAAGGTCTGTGAAGATGTTTGATGGGATTTTGATGGGGATTGCATTGAATTTATAGATTGCTTTTGGTAGAATTGCCATTTTTACTGTGTTGATCCTCCCAATCCAAGAGCAGGGGAGGTCTTTCCATTTTCTGGTATCCTCCTCAATTTCTTTCTTCAAAGACTTAAAGTTCTTGTCAAATAGGTCTTTCACTTCTTTGGTTAGAGTTACCCCAAGATATTTTATGCTATTTGTGGCTATCGTGAAAAGTGATGTTTCTCTGATTTCCCTATGGTGTCTTCAGAGTCTGAGATTCATTCTTCTATCTCTTGTATTCTATTGGTTATGCTTGTTTCTGAAGTCTCTGTTCGTTTACCTAGATTTTCCATAGCCAGCCGGCCCTCAGTTTGTGTTTTCTTCATTGCCTCTATTTCAATTTTCAAATCTTGAACTGTTTCCATTGCCTGTTTGATTGTTTTTTCTTGGTTTCCCAGTGTTTCATTTATGGATTTACTCATTTCTTCAAACTTTTTGTTATACTTATCTTCCATTTCTTTATGGCAGATTTTCACCTCCTGTTTAAGCTCCTCTATTATTTTCATAAAGTTCTGCTTAGAGTCGATTTCTTCTATTTCTTCTGGAGTAGGATGTTCAATTCTTCTAGTTTCATGATCCCTGGATTCTGGTGATGTCATGTTGCCTTGCAGGTTGTTGGAGGAATTCTTGCATTGGCGCCTGCCCATCTCTTCCTCTCTGGATGGAACTCCTCAGCACTGAAGTAGGGATAGTTGGTATTCCAAGGACACAGGAGACAGAAGGACGACCTTGGTGGCAGGGTAGGGTCGAGTGGAACTCAGAAGATCCTGCAGCATAAGCTGAGGGGGAAGGCTGTGCTCTCTTCCAGGACAGTCTGCCTCGATAGCCCAGACTCACCCCTCTGGATAAACTCCTCAGCCCTGAAATAGGGACAGCTGGTATTCCAAGACACTGGAGGCAAAAGGGCGGCAGTGGGGGCAGGGAAGAGTCCAGTGGAACACCGAAGACCCTGCTGCAGAAGCTGGGGGGGTGCTGTGCTCTCTTCCGGGACAACCTGTCCCAGCTAGCACCCACTCACCTCTCTGGATAGAACTCCTCATCCCTGAAATAGGGACAGCTGATATTCCAAGGACACAGGAGACAAAAGGGCGACAGTGGGGGCAGGGAAGAGTCCATTGGAACACCGAAGACCCTGCCGAAGAAGCTGGGGGGGGGGGGGGATGTGCTCTCTTCCGGGACAGTCTGCCCTGGATAGCACCCAGATATTAAAATTTTAAATTAGACTTTTCTTCTCACCAGTCTCCCTTCTCTGCTGGAGTGAACTTAACACCATCTTGGTAAGACATTTTTACGGTCAAATTTCTTGGTCCAAAATAGTTAAATTTTAAATTTAAACATATTTTCCATATCAGTTTAGGATATCATTAAAAGTTTGAGTAGTGGGGTATGAAAGTGATTGATTCTTGATTGGATTCCCTGGGAGGCAGGAGGCCATCATGCATGGAATTTATTAAAGACCACTCAGGACTAACCCCTGAGGAAGAGAAGAAAGGAGGTGTGGCTGGGTAGTGGCTGTGAAGCTGACGCACACGGGCCTCTGCTTGTCTGGGGAGCTGGGGATAACTGCACAATTGCTGCAGGTTGGGCAAGGGTGTAGTTTTATATTCTTCCCCTGCGCACTGGTACAAGGGCTGTACTGAAGGAGGGAGGGGGACTTTGAACTGGGCCTTTCTCTGTAGTTTATATGATTTTAAAAGAAACTTGTGAGCATAGACTGGTTGCTTAGCACTCTAAGATTCTGGCAGGAAAATGCTTTACCACAATACCCATTACTTCATCTTTTCTGTCTTTAAGTTGTGTTTTGCTGTGAGATAATGCTCCTGTACACTGTAAATATTTGTCACTCATATTGGTTTAATAAAACACTGATTGGCCAGTAGCCAGGCAGGAAGTATATGTGGGGCAACCAGACTAGGAGAATTCTGAGAAGAGGAAAAGCAGAGCGACGTAGTCACCAGGAAGCCATAGAGGAAGCAAGAATGCCTCACTGAGAAAAGGTACCAAGCCATGTGGCTAAACATAGACAAGAATTATTTTAAGTTGTAAGAGCAAGTTAATAAGAAGCCTGAGCCAATAGGTTAAAGAGTTTATAATTAACATAAGCCTCTGTGTGTTTCTTTTGGGACTGAATGACTGTGGGACTAGGCGGGACAGAAACTTAGGTCTACAGTGTTTTGCTTGTAAAAGCTGTTGTCTCCTATTTTGTTTTTAGCTTGTTGAGATAAGGTCTCATGTATCACAGAGTGGCTGGCCTTAAATTCTTGATTCTTCTGCCTCCACCATCCAAGTGCTGGAATTACAGGCCCCAACTACCACCTCCTGGCTCCCTTCGGTGTTTGGAGTACCTTTCATTCCTTTGTGCAGAGAACATCTTCCATCCATTCTATCTTTATTCATGTGTGTGTGTGTGTGTGTGTGTGTGTGTGTGTGTGTGTGTGTGTAGGTGCTATCAGTACCACCGTGCATATGTGTGGTCAAAGAACAGCACCGTGGAGCTGGTTCTCTCATTCCACTTTTCTATATGTGTATATGTGTATGTGTGCGTTCATGTGTGTGTGTATGTGTGTGTGCATGCATGTGTGTGTATGTGTGTGTGTGTGTGTGTGTGTGCGGGTGCTACTAGTACCACAGTGCATATGTGTGGTCAAAGAACAGCACCGTGGAGCTGGTTCTCTCCTTCCACCTTTCTATATGTGCGTATGTGTATGTGTGTGTGTATGTGCGTGTTCATGTATATGTGTGTGCATGCATGTGTGTGTATCTCTGTGTGCAGGTGCTACTAGTACCACAGTGCATATGTGTGGTCAAAGAACAGCTGTGTGGAGCTGGTTCTCTCCTTCCCCCTTTCTGTGGCTCCAGGGTGTGCACTACAGTCCTCAGGCTTTGAGTAGCAAGTGCTTTACACCGGCCCTCCTCAGTCATCTTCACCACCCACACCTCCACTCATGGTCCTGTTGTTTCTCGTGTAACAGGAGTTCTTACCGTGAACAGCTCAGCACCTGCCACTCCCACAGCTCCTTCTCTGGGGCCTTCTCCTCGGTGGAGCCCTCTGTAACAGTCGCAGCTCTCACCAGTGTGCGTGGATTTGATGTCTGCTCGGTGATTTGGCAAGCGGCAGCAAACACCTCCAATATACACCTTGTATTTTGGTTGTGTCCATATTTTCTCCCCTACCTAGATTGTAACTAGATTATGGAAACTTCAGATAGTTTTATAATACAGTAAGGACATAAATTATGATTTTGTGTGTGTGTATTTTCCGGAACTTTGGGACATACAAATTAAAGACTCAAAATATTATTAAATGATTGTTTTTTTGGTAGCTCCTCGGACAGGATTGCGATTGGGTGTAGGCAAACATGTTTCCTGTTGCTTCTAATACCACTAGTGCTTCACCCATCAGACATTTATTGAATGCCAGTATGTTCCAGATAACATGTTCTTTCCTTCCTTTCCTTCCCCTTCCTCCTCCCCCCTTCCCTTCTTTCTTCTTTCTTTCTTTCAACAGGATCTTATACCATAGCTCAGAACAACCTGGAGCTCACGATGATCCACCTGCCTTAGCCTACTGATTGCTGGGATAACTGACTCAGGCCATCACACTCAGAGTTGAGTACCACATTAAGCAAGGCAGTCATGGTGGTGAACTCCATGGTGCCACAGTCCCATGGAAGAGGTAAACCATGCATCCACATCAGGAGTGAGAAGATCATCATACATTGTGGTAGGCACCATGAGAGCAATGCACACAGACATGACATGGAAGAAGCCACCTGAGAGCTGGGGTGAGGGGGCACTGCCTACAGAAGAGACAGACTCAGCATGGTGACAGAGAGACAAGAACAAAATAGGACTTCGTGTGTTTGAAAGGTAGGTGCTAGAGGGATTGAACAGGAGCTGGTTTGGGATGGGGGCTGAGGCGGTTTGAATGAGAATGGCCCCCTTAGGCTCATATGTCTGCATACTTGGGTTCCAGTTGGAGAACTGTTTGGAAAGGATTAGGAGGTGTGGCCCTGTTGGAGGAGGTGATGCTGCTTCTCAAGGAAACAGTTTGAATTTTATCAAAACCGCTTGGGGAAACCAGGAGACAATGCAGGTTTGCTGTGGTCATTCTTCCAAAATGCGTCCTGAATTCTTAACTCCCGGGAGTATGTCTATACTTGAAAGCAGCTTTGCAGAGATTACCAAGTTAATAGGAGGTCATCAGTGCAGTCCTTCATCCAACCTGATTGGCATCCTTTTAAGGTGATATGAAGATACATACAAGGAGAGCATCCTGTGATGCCAGAGGCAGATGCTGGAGCAGCGTAGCTACAAGCCAAGGATGCCGAGGATTGGCTGCCTCCACTGGAAACTGGACCATGCAGAAGGAGTCTACCCAGAGCCTCATGAGGAACTAACAGAGGGCCGCTGGTGGGCAGAGGGCTGATCTTCGCTTACGTTCCTGTCCTAACTGCTAAGGAGTGCTTCGTCTGGGCTTATTGGGTCTTTGTTGAGTTGATGTAATTGGAGGCTCCCACATAAAAAATGAGGTTTATGATTGTCATTAAAAATTTCCGATAATTTACCCATAGGCTTTTGGCATTAATTGTCATCGAGGAAACAGAAGAGGTGCCTCTTCATTGTCAATAAATGTTTGGACAGAACAAGGAGATAAATAATTATGGTGGGCCCCAAGCACTCATTTGAATACTATTTTAGGGGGAGTAACCAATGGCCAGCATCAATTGCTCTGTGTCGAGAGCTGCTCCACGGTTCTGTACACACCCTCTTACTTAAATCTTGCTATGTCTCAGTGAAATAGACTCATTTGTGGGACTCAGATTATGGATGAGGAAAATTGATGCTTTGAAGTTGTTCAGATGAAGACTTGAGAGTTAAACTTGGGCAGAAATTCAGCTCTTAGCCACTAAACTATCGTTACGTGCAGAAGCTAATCTTTCCTTTTGGTAGAAACAAAAGGCAATTTGTCATTACAGGTGATTAATATTAAATTATACTCCATATAAATATATAAGAGTCCTGGATATGCATTTATTCTGGGCTTTCTTTGGTCCATCTGCTTAAACCTGACCAGTTCTCCAGACGTCGAGAGTGCGGGGGCTAGGGCTCTTTACACTGCCAGGCTGCTGTGTGCGCATCTCTCCCTCTGCAAACCCAAGTATTTCATATTCCAATGCACGGGTTTCCATCCCTCAGCTTGAGGACTCCGTAGAGGCCAGGGCAGGGGACCCTGGCAGCCACAGCACTTGGCTTGTGTGCTCATGAGAGCTTTCCAAGCAAGAGAGAAAGACTGACCTCATTTCTACTGTTTTAATGTGCATACAAGCAAAAAATAAATAAATAGATAAATAAAAATAAAAGAGTCTTTTGCTTACATAAACCAAAGGCCTGAGAAGGCCCACAGTAAAGTTAGGAGACAAAGGTGCAATGAGAGTAAAATCCAACTTCTCAGCCTCCCCGGACACCATCAGATTTAGCGGAATGCCCTCCATGTGTGACCTTTGGTGACCTTTATCACAAAGTTATTTTCTCTGGCTCTTTCTCCCAGACATTCAAGTCAAATCTTCTCAGGGACTCTATCTATGGGTCTGGCTGCTCTATGACTTCATGAAACATCATTACTGGGCAACTTTCATCATTACTGGCTTTCATTCTGTTTTGTTTTAAGAGAATCACATGGAACTTGACAAGAGCAAAACAAAACTGTGATATCCCGGAGAGAGGGCACGTCTGCTCCTAATAAAAAGACTCAAACTGTCTCCTAAATCTCTAAGAGTACACTGAAGTTTGTAACCACAAAGTATTTCTCGCATTGTATTTTTATGATGGGGAAGAAAACCTATCTATTTAAAGTAAAAGAAAAAAATTAGAGTTTACACTTCAGTTTTACCCTCCATGCATATTGTACTCAGAACTATAAAGGAAGTTTAGCCGGGAGAAGGCCACGAAGTAAGTTCATTGCAATATGGCTGTGGAGTTAGAATGAGCCATGGCTTGGCATTCCAATCCAAAAAAGGGTTGCCTGATTTTTATGAGTTTGTTTCTCATCGACAACTTGAGTATAAGGAATCCTTGACACTGTGTAAAATGTACGTGAACTAAGTCAGTTGTGGCTTCTACCTCACTGCATGACAACCACCGCACGTGTGGGGGTATCTGAAATGACCTTATTGAAAATTACGTCAACCAGCACCTGTGAAAGTTGCATGCAATGTGCTGGGAAGACACCCCCCGTTGGAGGGCAATCAGTTTTTAAAGGAACTGAAACAGAAGAAGTTGAAATTATGTGCTGGCTGGCCAGGCGTGTGGGATGCACCAGCCCCAGGGGCTGGGTGTAGTTATGGCTCTCCACACTTGCTGGGGGGGGCGTTGTTGTGGTGTAGACATGGGAAGGCACTGATGGTCTGAAGTCACACTGTCCACAATGCTATGTGTTTGCTGGGCTCAGAGCTAGAAACTCCCAGCATGTGGAATCACTTGCCAATCATCAGCAATTCCCTTCATGGACACAGCATAAACTGTTGAACCGGGGCTTGGAGCTCAGACCTCCCGCCCTGCCACGTACCTCCTTCACCTTCTCCACCGAGAGACAGAGGGAAGCCATTATCAATTCACTCTTTGTGACCCATATTTATTCACAATGACTCAGTCATTTTTATGGAGAGGTGTAACATGAGGGCTGACTTGTTGGGGTTTCTGTCCCACCCAGTACCCTACAACCGGCAACTCTCAAGGAAAATCACACACAGGACTCCATAAGATTATAAACTGATTGGCCCATTAGGTCAGGCTACTTATTAGTTCTTATAACTTATGTTACCCCATTATCCTTATCTATGTTAGCCACAGGGCTCAGTACCTTTCTCAGCTGGGCAGGTTACATCCTGTCTCTTCGGTGGTCTTCGCAGGAGTGGCGGAGGGAGCTTCCTGTTTTCCCAGAATACTCCCAGTCTCTTTGCTCCACCCCTACTTCCTGTCTGGCTTTCCCGCCTATACTGCCTGCCTGGCCAATCAGCGTTTTATTAAAATATGATTGACAGAATACAGACAATTCTCCCACACCAGAGAGGGACGTGTCCAACAGCAATAGTCGCCCAATTTCTCATGCACTTGGATTCTTGAAATAGGGGAAATTATTCTTTAGGGAGTCAGTATGTTTTCTGATGCTATAGAAGCATCAGAAGGTTGACTATTATTTCAGTTTGCCATGCTGTTCCTAATTCTGTAGTACTGGAAAAAAACAAGAACAAAAAACAAATACCCAACAAAAAAACCCCAAACCCACCAAACTTTGGTAAAGAACAAAGAATGAATTTTTGGGTCTGAAATATCATTTTAATAGTTCAAATAGAATTATATTTTTGACAGAGAATTACATAGGACACTTGACATCTTATATCTAAATAATTTTATGTTAAAGAGATAAAGTAGGCTGCTTTCCTATCCTCTCAGGCTTGAGATAGTTATTTTTTTATTATTTATATGTATGGGTGATCTGCCTACATGTATGTGTGCACACCATATGCATGCAGTGCCTGTGGTGGCCAGAAAAAGGTGTCAGATTCCATGAAACTGAGTTTACAGTTATGACCCTCCATGTAGGGGCTGGGAATTGAACCCTGGTCTTCTTGAAGAGCAGTCAGTGCTTTTAAGTCCTGAGCCATCTCTCCAGCTCGTGAGATGTAGTCTTAAGGGTACACTCTTGCTAGCATGTGGTTTGTGAACACAAGAATCACATATCCCTTGCAACCCAGGGTCCTGTTCTGTTCCCTGTGTGGCCAGGCCTTCTGCATCCAGTGGACTCGCCTCTGTTCCCCTCAGCACTACCCTTCCAACCCAGGGTCCTGTTCTGTTCCCTGTGTGGCCAGGCCTGTTGCATCCAGCAGACTTGCTTCTTTGTTCCCCTCAGATCACACTGTGCACTTAAGTTCCTTCTAGAAGCCTGCATCACAGGTGATGGTCACTTTCTTTCCTTGTTATGAAACTCATGTTCTTGCACCTGGCCCCGATTTGCTTACCAATGTACATGTCTCTTCACTGTTAGTCAGAACCACAAGCAAAAAGACTGGACGGTGAGATCCTCTGTTACTAACTTTAAATTATGCTGAATGTATTTCCTAAGTGGTCACTTTGAATTTTTTTTTTTTTTTTTTTTTTTTTTGCTCTGAAAAGTCAAAGTCTGGGGCTGGGAAGATGGTACTGGATACATGTGTTTGTTGTCAAACCTGATGATGTAAGTTCAATTTCCAGGACTCATATCATAGGAGAGAATCAACTCTCTCTCCACATGCACAGTGCTATGTACCCTGGCAGAAGGATATGCAAAAGAAAAGAGCCAAAACTCAAAGCAAAAACCCATAAACAAACAAACAACAAAATTAATATCAAGCTTTGTCCCCCACCCATCTGAAGAGTATTGTTTGCTCTTTGATATCATTGAGGTACGGTATCTACACAAAAGTATAACACTTCTGTGCAACTAAGTACCTGTCTGAACAAGAAGGAAGACCACACGACCCTTTTAAATGCTTCTTTTATTTCATTGGTTGTACATTGGGTGAGTGAGAACTGAATGTTACAACCAAACATAGAATTGATACAAATTAGACTCCTGTTCACGCTGTAAGATAACGAATGAGGAAATTCTTTAGGAAGTGTTACGGAAAGATTTAGCAGAAATGTGACCGGTGGTTTGTGGCTGAAAGACATATCTGTGAAGTGCGGTTACCCTGAAAACCAAGAGTGAAATGGAGTCCCGTACAAGCGGAGTTAGCTTCCTAACTGCCGTAGCTGTTGAACTGACGTCTTCCTGTCTTGGATATTGGTGATTTTGGTTTTGTAATTAAACAAAGCATTTAAGATTTATTCATCATAGTCAGACTTCTGAATATAAACAAACTTTTGGCAAATAATATTTATACAGAAAAATAGTTTTAGATCCTCTCAAATCCCAGAATTATTCTATAAAATTACATTATAAATAAATAAAAAGCAAAATCTGTTGTACATATATTTGTACATCTATGCATTTGCCTTGCCTCCTCCTTATTGTAAATGGCATATTTGACTCTCTGCATATTATAATCACAATTCTGGAAAATGGATATCATAGTAAAAAATACAGTCATCTATATTTGCTGGGGGATACAGGTGATGTTTTTGATGCTCCATTATTAAAGGGCTGAAAATAGCTATGTACTAATAATTTTTAAAATAAAAATCATGAAATGAAAGAAAAAAAGACAGTTACAACAATTAGTCTACAAAAATATCTCAGTGATTCCCATAATTTACCTCTTAGTAGTGTCTACTAACTTCTCAATGAGTTTAAATGAATAAGCAAAGAAAAAAAATAAGTATGAGTGTTTTAGGCAAGTTGTAGCATAACTACATTGTTATAACTGAGAAAATTACAAATATCAATAGTACATAAAGATGAAAACTAGCGAAGTGATACAAGTTAGATACAATACCTATCCACAAATTAAAACAGACACGACACAAGCACTACGCAAGATTATACTCAGAACGTGATTTTTCTTTTGATACAGTTATCAGATCTATGATGTAAGATAAATAGATAGTAATTAGACTTTGACCAACATGAATTAAATGCAGATTTTTTTTTCTCAATCAAAAAAAATTGGTATGGTTGATGCCTCTAGTTTTCAGAACAGGCGATGATACCAAAATTTAAAATATTTTACATTCAATCTCAAAAGTCAAAATACTTCAATCACTAAAATGTCCACAAAGAAAATGGATGTTTTAAACAATTACACATAATATCCATTTATAACAGCTGTTTCATTTCTTAAACAATAATTTAAAAACTATGTAGGTACTGTGTAGGCTATGTGCAACATATAAAATGTGAAATATGAAATATTTGGTACGATAGTGCTTAAAATAAACTTTAAAACAAACTTTCTGAACAAAATTTAATTGTATCGCTATTACCTTGAAGATCAACCAAGTATTTAAAAAAGTAAACAACATTAAAATATGTTTCATCCATATATAGTATATATATGTATGTGTATATATAATATGTATGTACTTGTATTAAAGTTTTTATACTTTTGAGACATAAAATATGCTTTAAGGTGAAAGAATTAAAAGAACTATGTTTTTCCATGCTGTAGTTAGTTACAACCCTTCAGTCCAACTTTTGAAATGCAAAAACAGTAATGGATACTCTAAGTGAGACTACCGGCTTCTTCTGTTAACATAGGAATTTAGATTAAAGTCACAGTCTGTATCCGCAGTGACTAATCCGAGACGTACTTAAACTGGAATATTATACAGACCTCCCCACCTACAGCTTCCCTGTTGGACTAGGTTTTTAGAATAAAGAGCTATTCGGTAACAGGCAACCGGGGGCGGGCAGGTGTGTGTCGGGGGTGGAGTTTGAAAGACCAATCCCTTAGATTCAACTATTGGCGTGAGCCTTTCATTCTGGTCAAGCTGGACGAAGTCTGGCAAAATCTAGGCACTTCTACAAAGTCTCTCTTATAAAACAACTTTAAAAATATACTTGGAAAATAATACCTTCAAGACTTTGTTGGGTGGGGTATGAAGCTCATACCGTGCAAAGTTTTTTTTTTTTTTTTCAATCTACACAACGCGACTCTAGAATCCCATGATCCAGTGCGGCATCGCCAGGCAAACCGAATCGCACTCTCTGATGTGTCCCCAGCAATTGTGCTTGAACTGCCATTCAAATTTTAGACCTGCAAGGCAGGTTTTCTGTTTTACTTCACTTCTCGTCTTTGCCGCCGCGCTCGTCTCCTGAAGAAGTGAATCATACCCTTGGATCCAGTCGGGAAATGAAATGACGGCGCTTGGAGTTAGAATCGAACCTGCCCTTGGAATTAGTACTTAAACTAACGCTAACTGTTTATTGCTAAATTTGAAATATTCTGAGTCGAAATGAGTATATCGGCTGGACTTTCTGCATCGGCTATAGTTACGGAGATGAGACAATATTCCTAGGACAGAAACTAGGCTTAGAACCCTGTGAAAGAAAACCCCATCCTTTATGTCTCTGAACGTCGCAGCTGGTCTCAGGTAGTTAACTATCTTAGGCTGGAATATACTAAGCATACCATATTTAATACTCATATATGACATAGCAGAACTAGCCTTAGGGTTGTGGTCTGTCCAGAAGAACTAAATTTAGCATGCAGTTTGTGGCAATTCTATCGAGGAGGAAACAGGATAGTATGTACAGTAACAATGTTTAGCTATTCTCAATGCAGATTCTTGGCATTCCATCCCATTCCTGTTGATTATTTCAGAATTATCTGCGGAAGAAAAAGACAAGCACCATTTAGACTTTCTGCAGGGAAAACAACAAGTTTAAGTCTTACTCTTTGCTAAAAAAAAAAAAGGCATCTGAAAGTAGAACAATCTTCAGTTTCTCATAATCCTGACACAAGCACTATCTCTGCACACCCCCACCCCTCATGCTGAGGAGTTTCACTCTTAGCAGCTTCCCTGTGCAGCTGTGGGAAGGAGCGATGACTCAAACACACAGTGTTTTCTATGACACCGGGACAGCATGGATGTGGGCAGGCAGTCTGTTTAGAGCTCAGTCTTTGAAGTCATTTTGCTTCATATTTCTTTGCTGTATGTTCATATGACTATCAGACTAGTACTTTCTCTAGCCTTACGAAAGCCTAATCAGAGAACTTATTCCTTGAAAGTTGTTTATGAACTTAACTCTAAATATGTAAGACTTAACCAGATATTAACTTATAATTCAAAGATATAGTCTTATCAAACGTAACCTTGTGTCTAAGATATAACAGCAACCAGTTTCAAATGTAGGACATGCTTACATGCCACGGTTAAGAGAAAAGGGAAAACAACCTAATTAAGCAGTTAAAAATATTCTTAATAAACACAAAAGTACAGATAAAGTTCAAGCAAGGCTTTAATGGTTTACTACTGAATCCAAGCTATGGTCCTCGGGATTAATCTCAAAGGTCCCATACCTGCTTTTGCATTACTGGATTTTGAGTCCTGGGCCTGGCACATGCTAGGTAAACACTCTGCCATGGAGCTAAATCCCGAGTATAATCATGTCCCTTTCTAATCCCATGCTTTTGTAAAGGTGAGGGAATTTGTCCTATGTGGTCTATGCCATTAAACACCAAGCTTAAATAAACAATTTTTATCAAAAATATTTGTTCTTTGTACAATGTTTTGACTTAACTTTGCATAATTAACGAACTAAAGCTTATTTGCTAAATAGCTAAAAAGCTGTAAAAAATAACTGACGAAACCCCTTATGGTGAATATCAGCTAATATTGGTAGACACCAGGCTTCAAGTTCCAGTAAAGGGGCCATTTCTATAGATGTAATCTATTATCCTATTGTATCAGAATTTCCTTGAGCACTCCAACAGTTCACATACGATGTCTTAGTGTGTCTAAATGGTGAACCTGTGCATCTTTTATGTTACTGAGGCACACCAATGCATATAGAACTGACTAGAAAACATTTGTGTAAAACGAAAGTTCAAAGCTTCAGACACCGAGGCTACTCATTTAAGATTTAGTTACTTATTTTTACTTATAGGGATGCATGTGTGTCTGTGGGTGAGGATGCTACATGCGGGTGGATGCCCAGAAGAGGGTGCTGTGGGTTCTGAACGGCCCGACTTGGCTGCTGGAACCAAATTTGGGTCCTCTGGAAGAGCAGCATGTGCAGTTAGCCTCTGAGCATCTCTCCAGCCCCCCCCCCCAAATTCCTTGGAATTTGAGGCTAATTTGGAAAATAGCATCCCTGTTTCATATACTGCTAGATGTGCATAAGAACAACACATAATTTTATATGTAGAGACTATCCCAGGATCTGGTAGGTGAATGTGTTTATCGTATTGTCTTCGAATGACACCATTAAAGTTAGGTAATATTTACATCCTCCAAATGAATTATAGTTTTTTTTAAAAAAGATTTAGATCATTAATTATTAAGTAGGAATTTCTTCTAGTTCATCCTCGAGCTTCCATGCTATCTGTACAATAGGACATTTCCTAAGCCTTCAAATCATGGCCTATTCCTCCCACCTTTCTTTTCTCCTACTGTATCAAGAGATCCTGAAATATTTAGGGGAATCTTCTACTTCCTTAGACAAACATATAATAATATATGTTTCAAAAATGAACAATCCTACTTCTTGGCTGAATTTGAAAAACCAGACAGAACGGAATTTACAAACACCAGGAAAGTCAGGCACCCTACAGAAAGCCCAGCACAATGAGAATGTGTAGCTTTGCATTATAGACACTAACAATGATGCCTTGAACTCGTGTGTGACAGAGAGAACACCGGGAACCGGACCGGAAATTGGCTTCAAAGCTATAACTAAAGGCTGCCTAGACTTTCCCAGGCTGCCTTTTCCCTCTGTCCCAAGCTACTCAAAAGTCAAAAGGAACTTATGGTGTCAAAATGGCGTCATGAGTGCTCCCTTGAACCTAGACCAGAAAACTGGCAATTCAGAGCTGCACCTTCGTCTCTGTGAAGTGCATATGCTGGACAAAAAGGACGAGACAGACTCTGGAGCAGCTGCGCACCTCCAGAGTTCCAAAATTTGATATTAGGGGTCTGGAAAGCACTCGGTTTTTTTTCTCCTTAGAAGTTCCATTTGTAGGTGGCAACATTTTCCCATGAAAGTATCATTCATCATTAATTTTCTTTTCTGAGAACTCTGAGTGGTTGGGACCGTCTGAATGAAGTACACGTTAGGACAGTGGTCAGCCTGTGGGTCACAACCTCCACAGGGGTCATAAGCAGATATCCTGCAGATCAGGTATTTACATGACAGCTCATAACTATCAAAATTGCAGTTACGAAGCAGCAATGAAATGATTTTATGGTTGGGGTCACCACAACATGAGTAACTGTATTAAAGGGTCACAGCATTAGGAAGGTTGAGAACCACTGCCCTACAGTGATGTGTCCCATGGAAATAGAACATTAAGGTGATAAACAGCAGCCAAGCAATGCCACTCACTTAAAAATCATCCCTTTTATGACTGTTTTTCATGTTAGGAGACATATAACACTCGGATCTGTTGGTGTTTGGGGGTACTCCAGGAAGTGAGGGGGAGGGGAGTGTGTGGTGGACAGGAGGGGAGAGGCCTGTGTGTGTTTGGGGGTGCTACAGGAAGTGGGAAGGATGACATCAGGAACTTCTCTTTGGTTTTTTTCCTTCCTTCCTTTATTCAGATTCTATTTCAATCGATGCTAAAGGGATACAACTTAAAGACGAACAGGTGCATTTTCTGGGCTTTTCCGCAGGCTTGCCCCAGAGAATTCCTTTCAGATCATTGGTATTTCTTCCACTACACTTCTCACCTCCCTACCTCGGTTTCTCCACCATTTTTCATGATAGTTTTTACATCCAGGTAGATGGAAGGTTTCCGAGGTGCCTGGACATTAACTGTGGGCATAAGTCATATTCTTAAAATGCTAGGCTCCTAGGTGTTAGGGGTGATCTGGCACACACATCATGAACCTGATGTGGACAAACCCTAACTTCCAGTTTGTATGTTTAGAACATGGTTAATTATGCTATCAGGGCTAGAGAGATGGCCTGGTGGTCAAGAGTACCTCAGTTTGTTTCTTGGCATCTGTGTCAGGAAGCTTACAACTTGCCTGTACCTCCAGCTTCATGGGGTCATCAGCCTCTATGGGAATTTTTATTCCCGTGAGTGCACATGTACACACACACACACACACACACACACACACACACACACACACCCTGCACACACACTGAAAAAAACATTTAAAACAGCCCATCAAATTTAAGCACAATGATTTCTTTTCTGCCTTTAGTCCAAGCTGAGGCTGCTACCCAAGGTGCCTTTTGCAGGCAGGGCACTGTAGCCCACACATTCTCGGAGGAGGTAACTGAAAACTTTCATTCGGTCTGCGAGAGTCTGTCTGCAAGTCAGATGGAGAGCTGACCTATCCTAAAAGGCCTTCTCTGTTTATGCCTGAGTTTGGTGTCTATACTGTTAATTTTCAGCAGGCTCTGAGAATATGTGCCGGCGATGAACCTAGAGTGTGCTGCAGCGGCATTCTGCAGCTGTGGAAGTCTGTGCAGTGTTAACCGGCCTGCACACACCAGGAATTTGCTCACTCTGCTCCTGACATGAGAATTCTCTTCAGGGCACGAAATGGGTGGCCTGTCTCAGACCCATGCCAGGAACTGCGGGCAGCTGCGGTTCTAAAGGCTTTTTTGTACCTCTAAACACGCCAGCTGAGAAGGATGCTCAGAAGAACCCGCTGGAGCCCGTGAATCAGAGAGAGGGATACCATTGGGCAAGTCTGGAGGGACCAGGAGGTGCATGAAATGGGAGACACTGCATACTGTGTGAAGGAGCTAGTGCTGGCCCGGAGTGATCACCTACATCCCACCCCCCACCAGAGTGCCACTGCCGCAGCTTCTGTGAAACATTGGCAAGCCACAACAGGAAACAAATCAAATGTATCGAACAAGACAGGTGCCTATGTATCTCCCTGGTGGATGATTCTCTTAAGTAAGCAGTGTTTACTGTAGCAGACTGTGAGTGGAGAAGGAGGCAAGAGTCTTAAGTATGATTATGGTCTGTCATGTATGGTAGCGAAGACTTTGGACTGAAAATATGGTTTTCAAATCCCTTTACCACGAAAAGGAGAACACACTAAAATGAAGACCACTGATACCCACAAAATCTACAGCTCAGTTTGGAAAAAATAGCCACACTGGACCTCCAGTAAGGGGTACCTTCACAGTCATTCGGGGTTCCTCTGGTTGTATCAATATGTGTGAGACAAAACATCAGAGGGTTGCAATGGAACCATCTTATTAATAAGAAAAGCAAACCATAGTAATTAAACATAGCCCTTAATGGTTGTATTTAACAGTCTGATGATTCTCCTCAGAATGTAGCTACCCTATGCTGTACCCTGTCATGCGAGCACAGTTCCTAAGTGATCTGATATTTTTTGAAGACAAAGCATGAATGGTTCCTAGAAGTATCAAACATGTTTTCCCGGCAGACACATGTGCAGCCACTGACCAGTTCTTGTGTCCTTATGATGTGTGTGACATGAACGGCCGCAGAAATTACAGAGAGGAAGTTACAGAGAGGTGGTCTAAATTAGGTTGTGTACAAGGAAATGCCAAGCCCATCAGGTCAGCCAGTGTACAGTCAGATCGGTTAGTGTACAGTCAGATTAGTCAGATCACAGTCACTATACAGTCAGAGCAGTCAGATCACAGTCAGTGTACAGTCGGATCAACCAA